ACTGAGCCACCCAGGCGCCCTGCAAACATTTTGAAGCCTAAGGATTCTGATGCAATTGGCTTGGGTTGAAGAACCTGGCATCAATTTTTTTTTTAAGGGATTCAGTTGATTTTATTGTGAAGCCAGAGCTAAGAACCATTGATTCAGTGGATTAAGAATCTTGTATGGTGCTTCCCAGTTGTCTTAGAAGCTCCTTCAAAATTACTTTTTCTTATAGATGTGGTAGGGACAAGATATTTGACTTCAGGGAAGGAATAGAATCCATGTGTCATATTTCAGGACACCACAAGGTCTTGATTTACCGTGAGACGTACCCAGGAGGGAAAAGACCAGGAACTAGAACTATACTCCCATTGGATTAATATAGAGGGACAAAGAGCTGGGGTCAGGGCTGTGTGGGAATGAGGAGAGAGTTGAAAGAAGTCCAGTCTAACTGACAGAATGCATTAGCTAAAGCATCTGACAGTGGGCAGTTTGAATCTCCACTGCAGTAGTAGACTCTCAGGCTGACACCCTGGACACTTGCTGTGATTGAAAGCTTGGGGTTTGGATTCAGGCTGCCTGGAATAGTTCTATTATTTATGATCTTTAAGACATGAGCAAGTGGTTTAGCTTTTCTAAGTCTCATTTTCCTCATCTGTAAGATGGGGGTGATAATGTCTACTCCATCAGGTTGTTAATTTCATAAAAGCCCCAGCGTGCTCCAATACTTAGAGATGAAGCAGAAGAGGAAGAGCCAATAAAAGAGACTGGAAAGCAACAGGTAGTCCATCAGAAGCCTGAAGAAGAATGTTACAAGGAAAGTATGGCCCTCTGTCAAATCTGCGAAGAGTTTAATGCACACAAAGAGAAGCGATGACTGGGTGTTTTGGCAAGATGGAGTGATCCTGATAAGCGCAGATTCAGTGAAGTGATGGGAATGAGGTCTGATTAGCACGGAGGTGAGATGAAACTGTGAGGTTTCATCATTTCAGGAGAGACAGCAATTATAAAACACTTATAAGAGTTTTGGGGGAAACAGTAGGTTGAGAAATGGAGTGGCATTTGGAAAGGGTGTGAAGTTAAGAGAGTTTTTTTCCACTGGAGTATTATAGTGTCTCTGTATATGTTGAAGGGGATGGTCCTCTGGAGAGAGATTAAATGATGCAGAGGAAAATGTGACAATTTACAGGAGATTGATACATGAAATAATTGAAAAGATGAGAAGGGTGGGATCCAGTGCCTAAGTGGAGGAGTTGGCCTTGGGTAGGTGTGGGGATGCTTCATTGACTATAATAATAGTAAAAGCAGAGAGTGTGGGTATGAAAGTAGGTAGGTAGGTTGGAAGACTTAGTGGTTGGAAAATAAGGGAGTTACTATCTGATTGCTTATGTTTTCTGTATGCAATATTATCAATTGAAATTTGGATGTTGGTGATCATGGAAACTAAATTAGGTACATTAGTAGATTGGGATATTTGAAAAGAAAGGAAAAGTCATGGAATTGAAGAATGGAAGGCTATGGAAATGAAGTAGGATTCCTGTGATGAGATCGTACTTGAGATTAGTGGGTAAGAATTTAGGAGTATGGAGGTGCCTGGGTGGTTCAGTTGGTTAAGTGTCCGACTCTTGATTTTGGCTCAGGTCATGATCTCAGGGTCATGGGATTGAGCCCTGCATCAGGCTCTGCGCTCAGTGTGGAGTCTGCTTGAGATTCTCTCTCTCCCTCCCCCCCACCACTCCCTCTGCTTGCGCACACATGTGTGGGCTCTCTTTCTCTCTCAAATAAATAAATAGATCATTATGTAAAAAAAGAATTTAAGAGTATGTTAGTTATATGTAGTATGTTAGTCTCTGTAGTCAGGGTAGACTAGCTTTTCATGCAGCAGCAAATAACGCCTAAATCTGAGTTACTGGATTTGGATTTCTCTTTCCTTCCCCAGATTCAGGAAGTTTTTAGCTATTATTTCTTCAGACAAATCTTCTGCCCTCTTTTCTTGCTCTTCTCCTCTGGGATCCCTATCATACGACTATTACGCTTGACTGTGTCGCTGAGTTCCCTGGGTCTATTCTCATTTTGCGTATGTTTTCCCCCCTCATCTGCTCAACTTGATTACTTTCCATTACTCTGTCCTCCAGGTGGCTGATCCGTTCTACTTCCTCTTGTTTGCTATTTATTCGAGGTGGTCTATTTTTATTTCCATTTAGTAAGTCTAATAGCTCTAATTCGTTCTTTTTTACATCTCCTATCTCTTGATGGAGAGTCTCATGGAGGTTCTGCACTCTTTTCTCAAGTCCAATGAGTATCTTTATGAGCATTACTTTAAATTCTCTATCAGACATATTACTTATCTCTGTTTCCCTAGGTCTCCTGCTCTGATTTTGTTCTGCTCTTTCACTTGGGACATATTCCTCTGTCTCCTCATTCTGTCTATTGCTGTGTCTGTTTCTTTGTGTTAGGAAAGTCAGCTACATCTCCTGCACTTGAAAGTAGTGGCTTTATGAAGACGAGGTCCTGCAGTGCAATGTCTCCTTTTCACCAGAAAATGTGCTTCAAGGGGTGTCTCCTCTGTGTGTTGCTCCAGGGGTGTCCTACCATTGTGGCTGGGATGTGTTTTCCTTCAGTCTAGCCTGCGGTGGCGCTCTGCCTGTTGTGGGCAGAGTCTGGTGCCCATGGTGTTAGTGGGCTGCTCCGGGGCTGCCTTGGGCTTGAGTTGAGTCAGACCAGGTGTTCGCCAGAGATGAAGTAGCACCAAACTGCAGGCACTTTCCCTGTATTGTCCCCTGAGAAGCTTTTGTTGATGGGTGGGGCCTGTAGTCAGACCAGTTGCCTGCCCCCAGCCCACTGCTGGGGTCACAGTCAGACTGGTGTGTGGTTATCTTCCCCTCTCCCTGGAGCAGGACTCACTTTGGAGTGGTGCTGACCCTTGTCTGGGCTGCGTGCACACCCCGGGCTTGTGGTACTGCTTTGATGGGATCTTGCCAAGAACGATCGGAGTGGGTGGATCTGCTTCTCTGTGGCCTCTTGTCTATGCTGGGCTGTGGAGAGTCCGTTCTGCCAGTTTTCGGGCTGCTTTCTGGGTTATTTATGCCGATGTGGGTGCTCTGTAGGCAGCCACATGGCAAGGGGTGAGCCCAGGGCCCTCCTACTCCGCCATCTTCCCAGCGGCCTCAGACAATGGGATTCTTGAAGATGTCAGAGGTAATGTAGTTTTTGATGATGATGTCAAAAGTATGACCCTGGGGCACCTGGGTGGCTCAGTCGTTAAGCGTCTGCCTTCGGCTCAGGTCATGATTCCAGGGTCCTGGGATCAAGCCCTGCATCGGGCTCCCTGCTCAGTGGGAAGCCTGCTTCTCCCTCTCCCACTCCCCCTGCTTGTGTTCCCTCTCCGCTGTGTCTCTCTCTGTCAAATAAACAAATAAAATCTTAAAAAAAAAAAAAAATTATGACCCTGAAATTGGGTGGCTGAGATCAGGTGGAGCGAAAGATTATTCTACATGAGGGAGTCAGAGAACTGGGAGACCAGAGTATGGGATTTGTCATCTGTGTGGATGTTGAAGTTACTTAGAGTGGGGCCCACAGGAGGGTTAGAAGGCAAGAGGGGGATCCAGGTGAGAGAATGAATGTGTATTTCTCCCATGAAGATACTCTTGGTCTTTGATTAGACTTGGTAGTATTCTAGAGTCTTTGGCAGATTGTATTTTCATTATTATTATTGGGAAACTACTTGGCAACTCATCCACAAAACCTCTTAGGGGGCTTTCTTTTTAGAGATGGTCTGTTGCTGATTTCAGATCATTCCAATTCTGACTTTATCCTCCAGTATTGGGGTTGTCCCCTGAGAGACCCTCAGTTCTCCTGCATATTAAAAATACTCAATAAATCCTGAAATCTTCTCTAGGCTAGTTAATAAAACCTGCCACCTGAATGTGTATATGTGTTTAATATGTAATGTTTATAGTAGGTATGAATCTACTTTTATCTCTTTTTATATAAATGAAAATAAAACATGTTTATCCCTTTAGCCTTTGTATATGTTTATATGATGTGCTACATTTTAATGATTTGTTTCTGCTGGCCGGGCATCTGCAGTGGGTTCTGCAGACAACAATTTTATCTCTGTAAACTTGTATGGAGCATTTGGGCTCCTGCCTGTCTAATCTTATACAGACATTATTAAAAAAACCGCAAGTCCATGGCCACCCTCCGACCTCCTAGAGGCAGATACTACATTGCTGACTTCAGGGTGGTCCTTGGAAATAATGTTTTGTTTGGGACCAGAAATATTTTTAAGGGTGTGAAAACATTTGCATTGTGAGCATCAAGTGAAATCTTGATAATACAGCTCTGTAAAATAGTGATGCAAATTTCCTATGTTCAGATTGGCAGAATGTGAAAGGCTCAAGGCTGTTGTGTCAAGTTTTTAAAGTTACCAGGTTTGCCATATGAGGTTTGCCTTTTTTTTTTCTTTACCCCCCTAAATTCCTCAGTCATGCTTGCTTGCTTGCTTTCCGTACTGCCAAACGAGAGAAGCTTTCACAATGCTGCAAAAAGCAATAATTTGGATCTTATGGAGAAGCTGTTTGAAAAGAATGTTAACATTAATTCTGTGAACAATGTGAGTAGAAGTCACAGATGTGACAAGTGAGTACTCTAAGGGTGGTTTGGATTGACACAATCCAACTGAAATAATAATAAAAATAAAAGTGATTGTGCTGGATGAGGTGAGGGAGAGCTCTGTTGTTGGTAATTCCAGAATGTGTAAGCTAAAGGTGGAATCAAGCAGAGGAATAAATATCTTATCAGAGGGGAAGTATACAGTCACTATGTGCATCTATGCAAAGTCTGTGGGTAGGCAGTAAAGCCAGTCATCAAGGTTATGGGCCTGGACTTGATCCTGGATTGCAGCCTTTGGATCACTGGCCTCACACATTCTGGAAAGGCAGAACATCTTTTGCTTCACAGTTTCGTCACTGCTTTCTCTCCAGGGATGTCCTTCGTTGTTCAGCCCTCCAAATTTAAAATCCAAAGGATCATGGGGTTTGTATTTTATCGCATGTCGGACACTGGGGCCTTTTCTAAAACCTGGCTCTTACTTTATTGTTCTTCAAGTGCCAGGGTTTAGGAGAGAAGTCTACTGCTTAGACATACAAATTTCCTACTGCTTGGTTTTGTAGAGATTTCCTGACAGCTTTTCAGGGCAAGGTTTATCAAAGTGGACAGGTTTGGGGCTGTGTTAATTGCTTAGGACAATCTGTGCGGTGGATCAAAGAGGGGATAACAGAGGTGGATTTAATGCTAAATGAAGCAGAAGCTTTAGTGTCCCTACTTGTACAGACCCCTTCCAAGGCACTGGGGAGGGATCTAGCAATGTATTCTCATGCTTATATGGTTTTGTAAAATCTAAAAAAGTAAGAAACTTTAATTGCCATCAGTTCAGCTTTTTGACTCTGGCTTTAAAGAGGGCTCTCTAGAGAGTGTAGACTTTACGTTTCACAACACGTAGATCTGTCCCAGACAGTGACGTCATATGAATTGAAGTCATGCATCATATGCAGTGGAAGGATGTTTACCGGTTGTGCATATGCATATGGAAATGTATGTGTCTGTGTGTGTATTGTATGCATGTGTATGTCTGATGTGTTATGGTTATATATAGTATTCATTGTCCATAGGTATCCTAAAAAGAGTAGAAAAATAGCAAAGTTTTGCAGCATAACAATTTTAGGAACCAAACAAAAACAAAAACAAAAAAAAGGAAATGAATCAGAAAGGAAGGAATTAAAAAGAAAGAAGTGAGCAGGGGCCTTTGAAAGTAATATCTAGATAAATTGTTGAGTAAGTAAAGCAATAATCATTTTTCCAAGTAGCAGGAAATAGGTTCTCTAATGTACTTTTATAATAATTTAAAATTTTTTCACATAAGACTTTCTGATATTTTTAAAAATATTTATTTGAGAGAGAAAGAGAGCACAGAGGGAGAGTGAGAGGGAGAAGCAGACCCCCCCACACACACTGAGCAGGGAGCCCAATGTTGGGCTCCATCCCAGGACCCTGAGATCACGACCTGAGCCAAAGGCAGACATTTAACCAACTGAGCCACCCAGGTGCTCCAAGACTTTCTGATATTTTAAACCGTATTCTTATGTTAAAGTAGTTAAAAAGATTTAATGCTAAATGAAGCATCATTTAGGACACAATCAGGGCATTTTAACTTATGGTCACTGTAGCAAGTTATCAACTCTCGATGAACTTTCTAATTATACTTTCTAATGACATCTCTTTTAGTCCCATTTACAGCAGTTTGTTTACATGGTTACTTGTAGAGTTCCTTAAGATCTGTGATGATAGAGATGAAAAAATATATATAAGTGGTTTTATTGAATTATCTTGGATGCTGTTTTGGCTTGACATACCAGAACACAATTCTAAATTGCAGACAATGTCAGGATAACTCATGTTTTGTCGAACTCCAGTTTATCATCGATTTAGCTACCAAGGATATCAGATATTTAATTTTTGCAATACTTTATTCGAAACAAAGGAGGAAATCCATGTGCAGGCACCTTCTTTGGAAGCAAAAACAGTGTCTAGAATATGGGAAATATGACATGTGTTTTACTTACAAGCAAAACATCTCTTCTCTGAAACAATGAACTGTCTCTGGACATCCCAGGAGCACCTTGTTGGCTTTCCTTTGAAGCAACAGATAGTCATAGCTTTCTTTTTCTGTGTCTGCATCGTTCTTTTCTTTTCTTTTTTTCTTTTCTTTTGTCTTCTCTTCTCTTTCTTTCTTTCATTCTGAAGCAGTTTGTTTCAGTAAAATAAGCAGTACAAAAAATTATAGAAGGAAGACCATATACAGGGTTGAACATCTAGGAAAATTTTTGTTTTGCATTATCAATATATTCTAAGCAGAAAAAAATTGCTGTTATTAATAATTGCATATGGGAGAAAATACAACTTTTGCTTTTTATTTGTATTTATTTATTTTTAAAGATTTTATTTATTTGAGTGAGAGAGAGAAAGCATGTGCGGGAAAGGGGCAGAGGGAGAGGGAGAGGGACAAGCAGACTCCCTGCTGAGCACAGAGCCTGATGTAGGGCTTGATCCCAGGACCCTGAGATCATGATCCGAGCTGAAGTCAGATGCTTAACTGACTGAGCCATCCAGGCACCCCTACAACTTTTACTTTTTAATTGAAATCCATTACACTGTTACAATCAATCATGGGTTATGCCATGCACATATAAACATATGATAGAAAATTATGGCGGTTTAAGACACAGGAATCATAAAGAGGCTAAATAGCAATTAGATGACTGAAAACACAAATTATGTTTCCTCAGATGAACCGCACAGCCTTGCATTTTGCAGTGGGGTCAAATCACTTATCTGTGGTGGATTTCTTGCTTAATCACAAGGCAAGAGTGGATATTGCTGATAAGGTAAGGTCATCTTCATTTGGTAGAATGGATTGGAGCATAACCAGTGTATGGGGAAAATCTGGTCACTTCAGTTATCTTTTCTTCACATACACACAGAATATTTCCAAATTCAGTTTTCACTTTGGAAAGATCTCTTTAGGGTGTATTTGGTAACTAAATTGTTTACCTATTACTTGTAGGACTTAGGCTGTTGCCCATTTTCTCATATTGACCTTATGGCTAGTAATATGCATTTGTAAGAATAAGGTGGTTGCCCATAGTATAATTTGGGTCATGGAGGACAGAAGCTAACTGGCCTCAGGGACATTAAATCTTGACTTTGCTGTGTGAACTCTAATAAAGCTTATTAAGTACATACTATGTACTGGGCACCAGTCTTAGGACTTTGATATTTAGTGCCCAACCTTGTCTCCCGACCTTGTGAGAAAAGTGTTACTAAAAATACACAGTTTTCATGTGAAGAGCCTAAGACAGAGAAGTTGAATATCTTGTCCAATAATTACATCTAAGAAGGGGTGAAGGCAGGATTTGAACCTGGTTTACCTGGTTCCAGAGACCATGCTGTTAGCCCCAAGCAGTTAACTATTTGTCTGCCTTGATATCAAAACCCACCCTAAGGATTTTCTCCCTACTTTTCCCAACTTCACTTACTACTTTACCATGGTGCAAGAAAACCACTTGGGCTGGATGTACCCAATATCACGTTCATCATCTCCAGTTGCAATGAAAGATGACGGTCTTGATTTTTAGAATCCTATGGACTGTGGCTGCTGGTGCTTAGTTAACCAAATGGGCCATTGTTCCTAAAGTGTTCATAAGGTTTTCACAGAGCTATTCTATTTTCTGTCTGGATTGACTCATTGAAAGATAAAACTCAGCCCTGCTTTACTTTCATTCTTCCAGGTCCTGGGTTTAGTATGTGCTTAGTAAATCTTTGGAAGATGAGTGAATGAAGTCAGATCAAACCAGCTGGTCATATTGTTGGTTTTGTTGGTGTAAACATGGCCTAGACATGATAATGATGAAAATTTTTCTTTGTTTTACCAGGGGAGCACATCCTTCTCTGTCTATTTTATTCCTCTGAGATTGGTAGGCAAGTCAATTGATATAATAGAATCAGAATGAAGAAGTACCCCTTACTAAAAATTGGCACTGAAAGCACTCCAATTTTGTGAGGGTAATAAGTTGTATTATGGTTATTGTACTTAACATGTTGTTGGGGTCTGGAAATTGTTATTTGATTATTTTGCAATGTTAGTTAGCCTGCAAAAGATGATTTGATAATAGACCTGATTGCCAAGAGTCTATTCTCAATTTTGACATTGAAACCCTGATACAGTAACTTTTTATTTTAATTTTTAAATTGACCATACAATTTTCTTTCTTTTTGATGTACAGTTATATGAATTTTAATGTATGTGTAGATTCATGTAGTCACCAGCAAAATCAAAATACAGAACAATTGCATCACCCAGAAAATATCCTCATGCTGCATCTTTGTAGTCAAACCCTTACCCACCCTGGAAACCACCGATCTCTGCTCCATCTCCATAATTTTGCCTTTTTGAGAATGCCGTATAAATGATGTCAGGTAGCATATAACATTTTGACACTGGCTTCTTTCACTCAGCAAAATCTCTCTGAGATTCATTCATATTGTATGTATCAATAATTCCTCCCTTTTTGCTGCTGAATAGTATTTCAGTATGTAGATATGCCACAAGTTTATTTATGCACTCACCTGTTGAAGGACGTTAGAGTTGTTTCCAGTTTTTGACTATTACAATTAAGCTGCTATCCCTTTCACAAAGATGGCGCCAAAGGCTAAGAAGGAAGCCCCTGCACCTCCAAAAGGTGAATCCAAAGCAAAGAAGTTGAAGGCCAAGAAAGCAGTGCTGAAAGGCCTGCACAGTCACACACAAAAAGATGATCTGCACATCACCTACCTTCTGACGGCCCACGACACTGCATCTCCGAAGGAAGCCCAAATATCCTCGAAAGAGTGCCCCCAAGAGAAACAGGCTTGACCGCTATGTCATCATCAGGTTCCCCCTGACTACTGAGTCAGCCATGAAGAAAACAGAAGAGAACAACACACTTGTGTTCATTGTGGATGTTAAGGCCAACAAGCACCAGATCAAACAGGCTGTGAAGAAGCTCTAGGACACTGATGTGACCAAGGTCAACACCTTGATCAGGCCTGATGGAGAGAAGAAGGCATATGTTCAACTGGCTCCTGACTATGATGCTTTGGATGTTGCCAACAAAACTGGGATCATCTAAACTGACTCCAGCTGGGCGCCTGGGTGGCTCAGATGGTTAAGCGTCTGCCTTCGGCTCAGGTCATGATCTCAGGGTCCTGGGATCGAGTCCCACATCGGGCTCCCTG